GCCCCCCCCCCCTTTTGTTGTCGGTTTATCCCGCCAACCAAACAGATGCGCAACTGTCTTTCCTGCACAGTTTATTAACCGTCCGAAACGCTGCTTTGAGGTATGACCTCGGCAGTACCTGCATCCTCGTGTGATGGCGCCCTGCATTTTAAATTCTCTGGAATTTGATCACTTTTCCAGTCCATCTTATTGCGCCCGCTCATTATTTGCTCTACACAATGCGCTCAGTTCTCATTACGCATTGTCATCACTTTCATCAACAAATTGCATTTCAAGCGCAGATATACGGTGTCACGTGTTGACACAGTTCGTCGAATTTGAGTACTGCACGCCTTCTCAGATTGTGCTGTCTTCCCACTTGGTCGTTATGCGTTCGGGACGTGATTGTCTCCATGGTTTTGTTCGTCCTTGACGTGTGCTTTCCCCTAAACGTCGACCAAGCCCCTTCCCTTTTTCATTTCTGATTGAACTGGCCAGTGATGAAAACCATTGCTTGTTTACCGTCTGATGATTACGTGAAGCTGGTCATGAACGTAGTTTAAAGTTAATTGTTTAATTAAATATATCTTTCCCTTATATCCATTAATGTTTCTTTAAAGTCACAGCAGTGTGGATCGTTGGTCATAATTTTGGACAATTCGTTGCTGGTCTCGCTTATTCGAATTGTACCCTTTCTCATTACATGCAAGCGAGCATAACCGTTGCTGCGGCTCCCGTGAATTTAGACTCGACCTTAGGGATTACAACGGTGGACCAGTCCTCACACCACGGAGCGCGGTCGTTGGCTAATATTCGTGGTTTGATTGCTTCCTTGTCTAGCTTGTCTCTTCGATACAACTCATTGGGTATTTTGTTCACTGGCTTTTATTTATGAATGCATGATTTCCAAAAGAAGAGTTTTTAGTACTCTCGCTTCGTACGTCACTGTGTTCTGGCCAGGGTGGGCTTTGACCGCCTCCAGTGGCTGCTCGTTGAAGGCCTTGACTTCTCTTCCGTAAACTACAAAAGAGTAAAGATTTTTTTACTCCGAGCCGCCATGTTAGCAAGTCTTTCAAAAAGTTGGTTGCTTAATATCTGCCTTGCTGGTTTGTAATGTTCGCGGGTTAATGGCAGTGCTCTGTAGTGACCGAATGTTCCAACTGGATGTTAGACCTTATGTATTCTTGCTCTTGGACTAGCTACTGGCGCATCCTTTGATGCGCCGTCCTGTAGATGCTATAATCTGATATGCATATTTTAGTGTCAGTGCTATAAAATCATAGCGGGTGTACTTACGTTCACAATGCTCTAGGAAGTGAATGCATTCGAGCAGAACTGCGTCGCGTATCAGGATCAGGTGCTTTGCCATGTTCTCAATCAATGCCAGAAAGCAGCGCTTTGCATAATACCTGAAAATTAAAAGAAGTTTACTAGCTTGCACCGTGACATTGTTATCAGGCCAACTGATGGGGGTTTATGCACGCACCATGTGTCAAGCCCAAGTTTCTTTTGGTATGGCTCCAAACTCTTTATAACTCTGCTGATCCCAAAATCATAATTGCCCTTGGCACAATAGAGAGTGCCAATCACTAGGTTTACTATGCAGAGGTGGAATAGTTTACCGCCGGCTGTCTTTGCACCACAGCCAATCAGGGGAGTCTCTTGATAGGCAGCAGCTTCTTCTTCTTTTTCTATTTTTCTCATCAGTTCCTCTGCGTCTTCATTTTGGCTTGTCATTATATAGGTAACACAGAGGTTCGCAAGGATGATTGCACTGACGCCAAGAATATTTCCGAAATGTTGCTTTACAATAGGCTCATAGAACCCGCTGGCTTCTTTGTATTTGTTTTCTTGCATGAAAAGAACGTGAGCGACATTCAATTTCCAAACTTCATGGTCATTACAAAATTCCACAGATTTTCTGAATATTTTTTCTACCTAAAATTGTTATTGATTAGCGCAAATGGTGTAATATATTACGAATACTTTGTGATAAGTGTTCGGATGGCGTATTAGCCTTGGCCATTCAAA